GGGTGCCAGGAGCTGGAGGCAGGGTTTAACCCTCAGCCCGGCTGCCCCGAAACCTCAGCTCCAGCGCGGGACGAACAACGCAGCTTCTGTGCGGGGCCGGCACGCGAGCGCAGAGGCGGGGGGGAGGCGTGCGAGGCCCCCGCACTGCACAGATCAGCCCTTGTTCCCCCGTACAAAGGGGACGGCGGCCCGTGGAGGGGGGGGAGAGGATGCTGGGGCGAGGGGAGCTGCCCTACCCGGGCGCTCTGGGCCACAACGATGGCTCTCCATGGGGCTGGTTTCCCACACGGGGCTGGGATGGGGATGCGGGAGATGCTGTGCAGGATGAGGGTCTGGACCACAGCATCCGCAGGGCAGGAGGTAAAGCAGAGCACAGCACCCAAAGCAAACGCTGCCAGGGGAATGGGCAAGAGCCAAACACCCGGGGTTTGCTCTGCGGCAGCACAACCAGACAAATCCGGAGGGTTTTGCAATTTAAATAAAATGTGTAATTGCAGACAAAGGGACCACAGTGGATACAACACACCGGGGTTTCGGCGAGGCATCTGATACACAGAGCCATGCGATATCCTAAGGGGGAAATTAAATCAAGCCAGCATGGACAGAAATACGATTACATGGATCAAGAGCCAGCTATTGAACGGCAAGAGGAAGGTAATTAATTAAACATGGTGGCCCGTCTAAAGGGGGATGGGAGAAGAGGAGCCTGGGACAGTTATCAATCGGAGCTTCGTTAAGACGGCTGTCGCAAACGGCCTTGGAGGGCACAGGGCAATGTTTGAGACAAGCAACAGCAGAGCCCTGGGAAAGGACCCAGCAATGCCAGGAACGGCCCACAGCGGATAGGACAAGGCTGAAGGGGGATAAATCACAGCTGATGCGCAGGGGGGATGTAATAACCCCAAATATTGAGCTCAGGGTGAGAGGAAAAGCCTCCAAGCGCCGCGAGGGGATGGGCTGAGCCATCGCAGCACGGAGGGACTGGCCGTGTTTGCAAACCCAGCTCACACCGCGCAGCCCGGGCACGGCCAGGGCAGGAAGGGGGACAAGCGCTGGGGCCCCATGAGACAGGTGATTTTGGGGGGCTTTCAGCACCGGAGGAGAGCGGGAAAGGGATTTCAAGCCGTGCACGGGAAACTTTGTGGTCAGCCCCCGTATTTGCAAGCAAGCAGCTACCCACGGCCCTCCAAAGCACCGTGAGCAGCAGCAGGGCTGAGCGCACCCCGTGGGTGGCTGCACGAGGACCCGGGCTTGATGGCACAGGGTGGGGGGACAGGATGGGGAGGAGGAGGGAAGCCAGAGCGGCCAGCACCCCCAGCCCTGGGGAAACCTGGTTTCAAGGGTGAGGACGGAGCTGCCTCGCTGCAGACCTGGGGGGGATCCGGGCTCTTCTCAGGAAGGGCAGCCGGTACATGGGGGCAGGACAGTGTCATGTGAAGTGTGCCGAGGCGTAGCCACCCACATCACGGCACCCGCTCACCCGCGCTGGCCCTGGTCCCACCCCCCTGCCTGGCTGCGGGGCCCCCTCGGCTGCCCCTTTATAGGAAACGGGGGCGGGGGGGGGCCCCAAGAGCGG